CCCCAATCTCTTCCTGAAAACGTCTGATGAGCTCAATTGCTATGTTCTTGAACGCATTCTCACGACCTTTCAAGTTCACTATAACTTTAACCTACAACATTTTGTTAAAAGATTTCAAAGTGATTCAGACAAACTATAACAATCTACTTGAATGCATGAACAGACAATCAAAGATATGGTAGATTAGAAAAGAAACCTTATCTCCATCTTTCAAAAACTTCCTTGCAGCTTTCAAACGGACAGAGTAATCATGTTGGTCGATGTTGTAACTGTGCAATAATAATAGCGACCAGAAGGTTGAGACTGAGAAAAGGATACTCGCCAAATTTTTTCGGATATAGCGAACAAAAGCTGCTCATAGCTCTTTTCTTTGTAGGTTATTTATCGATCTTAGAAGCCACAAGTTCGAGTGGCTTTAAACAGAAGAAAAAGAAAAGAAAGAAGACCTCCAAAAAGAAAAGGCAATGAAGGAATGTGTTACCCCATTTTAAGCTCTTTTAAATCCATGCGAGTTGCTAACATTCAAAACAACACTTTGTCAGTATCTTTCCTCAAATCTGAAAGATTGTGAACCAAAGAGAATATGCAGAGTCTATTAAGAAAGAGATTCACCAGCACTTTTCTTCTGTTGTCCCCTTTTCTTCTTTTGCTGTTCATACCTATATTTACTGAGAAACGAGAGACCGAAAAAAAAAAATCTCAACGTCAAAGTAACAAGAACTTAAGTTAATTCTCCCAGTGTAAAGATAACAATCATCATATTGTTCATTTGAAGTTAATTAACAAGGAAAAACAATGTGGCCTTCTAATTCTCCCATAGTTTCATTCCTTCTCCATTCTAATGTACAACATTTCCATCTATTTAGCATTTGTCATATATTAATTTTTCGGAAACATTTAATTAAAATTAAAGTACGAACTGAAAAATAAATCACCAAAAGATGCTTTTGATAAGTATTGATGTAATCATTGGTTAAATGGCATACCTGTAATCCATTATTCTGACAACTGGAGGATCTGCATCAGGTGATAATACAACCTGCATGAAATAGAAAGAATTGGCTAAATCCTATCCTACACAAAGTACACACAAATATCTAGATTCCAGTAAAAATATTAGTCCACGACCTTCTTTATCCGAGTTAAAAGGTGAACAATACACAAATAGTGACATGAGATTTATAAATTGTTGATTGCTGAAAGAGTATTATGTTATGAACTCACAGGTCGAATGAAGTTTTTCTCATATATCTTAATAACAATGCATTACTCAGCATTCATCCAAGTCTTGTGTCGACAAATAGACGTTTCTTTGCTGGTCTATATCACATGGGAAGGAAAGTGCAATTGTGATATCCCACATTGGTTGGGGAGGAGAACGAAATGCCCTTTATAAGGGTGTGGAAACCTTTCCCTAGCAGACGCGTTTTAAAGCCTTTTGGGGAAGCACGAAAGGGAAAACCCAAAGAGAACAATATCTCCTAGTGGTGGGCCTGGACCGTTATAAATGGTATCAGAGCCAGGCATCAGGCAATGTGCCAGCGAGTTGGTTGTTCCTCGAAGGGGGTAAACACGAGGCAGTGTGCCAGTAAGGACGTTGAGCCTCGAAGGGAGGTGGATTTGGTAGGGGTCCCACATCGATTGGAGAAAGAAAACAAGGATGTTGAGCCCTAAAGGGGGGTGGATTGTGATATCCCACATTGGTTGGGGAGGAGAACAAAACACCCTTTATAAGGGTGTGGAAACCTTTCTCTAGCAAACGCGTTTTAAAGCCTTGAGGAGAAAGCCCAAAGAGAACAATATCTCTTAGTGGTGGGTCTAGGTCGTTACAACAATTTTATATACTAAAATTGGCCTAATGCACAACCCATAAATGAAATTCTTCACCATGCGACAATTCTTATAGTTTAGAGGACATACTATAACATATAACTATAATTTTTCGATTACTATTATTATAAGCTTTTAATTTCATGCTCATGTTTATACATAGAACAGTTTATTGAAGATAAAAACCAAAACCCAAGAGGCAATAAATAAACATAAAGTGAAAAAGGAACTAAGATTTAAGATCAACATCAAGCTTAAGCTAAAAGGCACATTTCAAATTTCGTGTTTTCGAAAAACAACTATGGAATTAGTCCTCACAAGATCATTAAAGTTTGGGGCAAGGTTCTTTGGAACTACCAGACAAATAATAGAAAACTGCTTTAACAACAAACGGTACAAGAAGACCTACCAAATCAAGTTCAGCGTCATCAGCCATTTGAATGGCCTGAACCTTCGACACGATTCCAACCTATTTATTCATTTCAAGAAGATCAAATTTCCAAACTACGACGCCTAAATTACATGTGTTGCAATGTAGCAAAAGGAAACAAACAGAAAATTGCTTAAAACAAACCACCTACCATGTTCTGTTGTGCATCGATAAGCCTCACGGTATTCGATCTAAACAAATCAACCATATGAACGCAACCAAACAAATAAGAAATCCAAATAATCATAAATAAATAATAATGATAATGAACAAAACTCGTCCATCATACATGTAAATCTAGCAAGCATAAGGCACACACACCTAATGGCGGAAATATCGACACCAAGACCATCGTCAAAGCGCTTAGAATCCGCCGGTCCTGAAGACCGAGAAGCACCGCCGTATTGAGAAACTACAGTACTACGAGTTGAAGTTGTGAAGACGAGATGCAGAGAATTGGAGTTGTGATGGCGGAATCTGAAGGCATTGAACTTAGAGGAGGAGAGGGGGAGAGGGGAAATTGAGGTCCGGATGGGTGTGGCGATGGCGGTGGCGGAGGAGGAGGGCGCGGCGGCAGAGGTGGTGGGCGTGGCGGAGGAATGGGATAAGAGAGGTTTGAAAGGAAATCTGCCGGTGAGCCCAGCCATAGATTTGAGCTGTGGGAATGGAGGAGACAGTGAAGGGTGGGAGTTCTTCAATTTCTTCACCTTTTTTCTTTTTCTTTTTTTTCAAGAAATTGAAAAGGAAAAATAAAAAAAATAAAAATCTTATCCACAATGGATTCAACTTTATTATTTCATTGGAAGTTCATTAATGATTATTATCAAAAATATGATAACAAAAACAAACTCAAAAAAATGATGAACCATCCAAGTTTAAAAAATTTCGACCACTCTAATTCATTTTCAATTCACGAATTGAGTTAGAATTCAATTTACTGTCACGAGTCGACTTGGGTTATGAACTTATTTAGTTATAGATTGGATTTAAATAAAGAAAAATAGTAAATTCATAGATTCAACTTGAATTTATTGTTAATTTTAAAATATATATTTATATACCATACTGTATATGATAAGATAAGAAACCACTACAAGGGGAGTAAGATTCGGATTACCTTGTTGATCGAATATCTCAAGGCAAGAACATTGTTTGAGATTCGAATCACTCCACAAGCAAGATTGATCATGTCTAGCTTGAATGATTCTTGTTGATCAAATATCTCAAGGCAAGAACACTTGCTTGAGATTCGAATCACTCCACAAGCAAGATTGATCATGTCGAGCTTGAATGATTCTACATGCAACCTAAACTACATAGAATTGCAAAGAAACTTAGCCATTGGCTAAAGAAGAGCTTCTTTTACTATATTTTTCAATTCCCTTATAAATACAGCATACATGACTTTATATAGCCTTAAAATGAAACCATTAAAGGCATTACAAGAGTTGTAACCTTCATACTTTATGCCCATAATTAGCTATTATGTAAATGTAACTTAAGGTAAATAAAATGTCTTACAATATAATAACTCTAAATTACTCTAAATTATAACCCACCCAAAATTTATAACAATCAAACTTCTTCTTCTTCAATGTGGCATGAATTGAACACCTTTGGATCTTTTTCTTCACATCTTCATTGAAGTATATTGTATGATTGATGCCTTTTGGTTCATATCAGTATATGTCGGATGTCCGGCTAATTTAGAGAAGCATCATGAGTTTATAATAAAAAAATCTTGTTTTCATTGGAACAAGACATTTTAGGAAAACCCAGAGCAAAACCACGAGAGCTTATACTAAAAAAAAATTGACAATATTATGTCATTATAGAGAGTTGTATTCAACCCAACCCAACCAAAAAAACCTTGTGTGGTTGGATTGAGTTGGATTCATTATTGTTTTGGTTGAAAAAATTCACAACCCGAATAATTAAGTTCGGTCTAAAAAATTTCTCAACGTGACCTAATTCAACTCATAAACATTTTTACGTGAGATACTTACCACAAAAGTGGATTAAATATATCCTATGATAACATTTACAACTTCATTATATATATATATATATATATATATATATATAAAATAAAAAATTTATAAATAGAAATTTCAATATATGATGACAGGTTTCAAACAATAACCTGGAAACATCAGACCTTTGATCAATGTCAAAAGACTGGTTGAGATCAAATGAATTAAACAATTTCCAAAACTCCCATTCTCACCTATGTATTTATGCTCGTTATTTTCATTCATCGATTGATTTAACGACACCTTATTCATGTATCAATCAATGATAAGACTGCTCATTGGATCTCACCTGAATCGACCCATCTATCCTCCTGAGGAGAAGTTTGGTTTCAAACCCCGGTTCAATCAGGAGGAATCCATTTTCCTTTTTCTACGTAACCAATCAAGACCCAACACGAAAAAAGGGATCAAAAGAAAATGACCTCAATTTCCAAAGCTCCTATTCTCACCTATGTATGACCTATTTAACCAACACAATTTATTCATGTATCAATCAAGAATAAGACGAGAACTAACACGAAAAAAAGGGATTAGAAGAAAATGACCCCAATTTTCAAAGCCCCCGTTCTCACCTATGTATCTATGCTCGTTATTTTCATTCATCGATCGATTTAACCACACACCATATTTATGTATCAGTCAAGGATAAGACTCTGCTCAAGAACTAACACGAAAAAGAGGGATCAGAAGAACATGGCCCCAATTCATACAAATGGAACGAATGATTGCCACCATCACTTTCATTTTCATTGCAATATCTTTGGAATTTATCTGCATTTTTTTTTTCCAATATACATGATGTATGTATATAAAAATAAATAAATAATAAATGTACATTTAAGATGGAGGAGCAAATATAAGTGGCATTTTGGGGAAGAAGTATGGTGTTGTTGTTAGCTTGGTTGGTGAGGGATTATGAAGGTTGATGGGGAAGAAGATTGAGAGTTGTGCGTTCCAAAGCTTGTTTAACTTGCAAGAGATGTGTCCTAAGACTGTACTCTTCTACCTGTTTCAATACACACAAACATATCATAATCAAATATACACACAACCAGTTCCAGCAATAATGATGGAGGAGTTTTTGGAGGATCAATAGATGGGTTGTTTGGGAATTGTTTTCAAAGACGGTCCTTCGGTTCTGTCTTCAAAGCATAATTTCTTTACATATCCGTATATGTCTGAGTTAGCTTGCGTGCATCTTGACTATTTCCTACCAGACAACCCTTAAATCTACAATATTTGGTTATCAGGTAACTCGTGCAACTTGACTATCTCCTACAAGACAACCATCACATCTACTATATTTGGTTATCAGGTAACTCGTACGTGCAACTTGACTATCTACCACAAGACAACCATCAAATCTACTATATTTGGTTATCAGGTAACTCGTACATGCAACTTGACTATCTCCTACAAGACAACCATCAAATCTACTATATTTGGCTATCAGGTAACTCGTACGATATTAAATCCTAGATAGGTATTGACTATCTCCTACAAGACAACCATCAAATCTTCTACATTTGGTTATCAGGTAACTCGTACGATATTAAATCCTAGACAGGTAGTTACCATGACCTGAACCCATCCTCTCTAAACGTTTTATTATTTAAATAACCTTTATAGACTACTAGGCTCTCAAAATAGCTTTTTAAGAATAATCTTCCAATGATTCCTTAATCTTTGCATCATCATATGTGCTTACAACTTCTGTTCACTGAACCAACTCTATTTGATAAACAATCATTTCCGAACAGCTTCAATGTTCTTAGAGATAGGATATCTATAAAGAAAATTACCAGAAAGAAACTTTCAAGAGAACAGTACATAAACATGTTCTCCACAAGCACGCTATCCTTTGTTCGCCTTCTACTTCACGGACCGATGCCATGACTTTTAAGAGAGCAAAAAACTGTTTTCATGACATTTCCAAATAACTTCTAAAAAGTGACCTTAAAAGGTATAATAATATAATTACTTTTACAAGTTATCAAAAAGTAGCTCTCAGAAACTACTTTTATAAAAAGAAAAAACTGCTTTGGAGAATAATTTCCAAACAAGTTTTGTTCGAAAACTCATTTTCAGTAACCAGTCTAATTGTGGCTTTTGAAAAACATGCTTAGAAAACATTTTCGGTGGACTTACATTCAAGAAAACTCAGATATCTAAAACTAATAAAGAAAAAAAGTTGGCAAAATAAAATTATAAGTGTTTTTGGTGAGGTTTGTGCAGTAATTTCTGGTGATGTTTGTGAAATACATTAGCCTTCCTAATACTAAGAGCAATGAAATATTGTTCTCACCTGCATCACTGTTGTTGAAGCCAACAGTGATTCGCATTCATCTAACATTGCTCTCTCTCGTGAAGCTACAATTGAAAGTTCCGAAACCAACCCATTCATTCTCTCCACCTTTAACACAAATGAATTATTGTTAGAAAGTTAAGCCTCAGACAACAACATGTATCTCAAACCGACAGCAGAATTTAATATGCACAGAAATATGCCCAAACCTAAGGACCATAAAGGAATATACCAACTGTATATCTGTAAGGGTAGCAACGCTAACTCATCAAAGTAAATCATTAAATGACTGAAAGGAATAAAATGAAGTTTCCTTGACATCACACATACCCTGTTATCTAGGGCCTAAGATATCGAGCGTGCGTGTAACAAATGCTGAAACAACATATAAAATATAAACAGATGCCCCAAACTAACAATCAAAACCGATCAAAATCAATCAAAAGCAAACTGACCAACTACATTTCATTTTTAAATATTATGAAACTGAACAGATCAGTATTTATTGTTCAAACCAACTTAACTTGATCGGTTGGGTTGTTGATATTTTCAACTTAACATGAGGCTTATCTGTTTAGACGCATTAACATGACAGTTAAATATTTATAAGTTTTCTTCCAAATTCATATCTGTAAGGATTGTTCTTTTTCTTTAAGACTCGTTCAAAACATAATAATCCCATTAAAATTGCATCATTACTGAACAAGTAAAAGGAACAGGAAAAGAATTTAAAAAATTATCACTACAACTTCCACACAGTCTATTAAAACCTCACCTGTGAAAGCAAGGAGCCTATGGAGGTTGCCATTACTTGCATCACATCAAGAGCTGAGAAGATTGCACCTTTCAATTCATCATTATCTGCCTGCAGATGTACAAATCTAAGAGGCCAAAACTCGTTCAATAAGTGAATATTCCAAATTTGACAAACTTTTATAAAACGTACCGTTGCCCCTGAAGTTACTGGAACTCGAAGAGTGCTTGCTTCTAGATCTAACAATGCACCTGACAACGAATTGATATGATCTGTCTCAAGGGAATCCCATTCATCAAGGTAGACCATCTGGATTTTCACTATTTTAATAAGTAATAGTATATGTTGACAAAAAGAAGAGGTAAACAAAAAATTAAAAAGGAGAATTACATGTCCTCCTACAACATAAATCCTAAAAATAAAAAAAAAAATAAAAAAATAAAAAAATAAAAAATAAAAAATAAAAACTCTCCTTGAAACCAATGATTAGAGAACGAAAAATGTTCTAAAAGCCCATAAAACATTGACCTAAGTAAAATCATAGAAATAAATGATATCTTGAACGTCTTAGTTTCTCTTAGTTTATACCAAAATATATTACTGTTTTTATCTTTCTTAATTCCCAAAAATAGCAAAAGTTCCTCCGTCAACAAAATTCTTGACCAAATAATAGGTTTTCTTCTATAGACAACTTCTTAACAAATAATGAGCACTTTACTTGGTTGACTGAACTCCTGCAAATTAATTCCCCAATTCATATTCATATAGCAAAGGAATTGTTCCAAAATCTTACTCTTAGTTACATGGACTTGGCTCAGCAAAGGTTCAATTCCGCTCGTAATTAGCTCTCAACAATTTGAAGCATTACTTTCATCGCCTTGGATAAAATTAAAGACATCTCTTAAACATTCTCGTTATTTCAGTGTTGTAGATAGACAATGTTCTAAAATAATTGGGTGAACCTCAAGCTTCACGTGAACTTCTCAGATCAAAAAGGAAAGCAAATTTACCTAAATTTATCTTCAAATCCAGCAACTACCTTAACAATTTGGAGATTTATCATCATTGTAGGAATGATAAGGTACAATCATTCGGCTATAGTGCATAATATAGAAAGCAATAGTTAAATCGGTATGACAGCAAAAATAAGCTAATTCATTAAGAAGTTCGGGATGTCCAATTTCAGTAAATATATAAGGGGATGGATCGATTGCAATGATTAAACGCCAGCATAATAGCTTTATTCTTGTATAAAGAAACGGTTTATGAAATTCTGCAGCTGTGTCTACAAGTAGCGTCCAACCAACGAAAAAGCAAACAGAACTTACGCTAAACAGTACAGAAATTCTCTACACAAATGAAAGGGAAGCGTCACTTTTTCTATCATAGCATACAAGTTAAAGAAAGAACTTACTTGATTGTTCATGATTTTATTCAGCTTAAGCTCTAGCTTCAGCATATGGATACTGATCCTATTTCTGGCTACTGAATCCCAAATACGTATCATAGCTTTCCAGACATTACATAGCATTCTCTGTGTCACCAAAAGAAAGAAAAAAAAATGTTAGTCATGTACAGGGAAGGATGTCACCATTGGCAACTAAGATCGTGATACAAAGCACCAACTCGATGGGAGATTCACAAGAAGTTCAAAAATTTTAATTTTATTTGCAATCAATATCATGAGATAAACAAATCTATACAAGACATCTAAATATCAAGACTAACTTGATAACACCTGTTTTTTTTTTTTTTCATAAAGATTTTCTACAACTAACTGCGGAAAATTAAATTGCCTAATACAACGAAAAATTACTCAAGGAGTTGAATCAATGAAAGCAGTGACTAGTATATTAGCAACTGACACAATCTAAAAGGTATAGTTCTCCTCATATGAACATTGAAATAATATTGCATTGATTTTGAAGTCACACAAATGTCAAGAGGATTAGGCCTCCTAAAAATGGTTAAAGGGAACCAATCTTATATAGAGGATAACATGCAACATATATGAGCTAAAATAATGAGAAGGTTTAGCTAAGGGCTACAGAAATATTACAAGAATTGAAACCTCTAACAGAAAAAGTATCATGACAGATATAAGATGGAGAACCATGTAACTAGTTAATATAGAAATGATCAAAAGAAAATGTCCCCTGGCCCTACTGAAAAATCTATGTATTTAAATACTTTTAGAATCATATGACCATCACAGTATGACGATAATAACTGTAGCTCGCACAAAACAACTTCAATCAGATAGATGAGAAAGAAAGAAAAAAGGTAAATTAATTCTAGAAATTAATGATGCACACCTCTGCATTTACTTTCTGCATGTCAAGTATCGCCTTTGATCGTGCATTTGAAAATCTCCATTGCGTATATCGATTATATAATAGCCGCAGCTGGTGAGCATCTTCAATATAATGAGCACCCTTTTTACCCTTAAAATCTGCAATGAAACTGAGCACCGAAGTTTTGCTGGTGGATTCACTGGAATTAGTCGGCCTGATTCGAGATGGACTGACACCCCTAGCAGGAGGAGTTGATGGCCTTGGCCGGGCTGGACTTAAACCTCTAGACACAGAGGATGATGGCACAGAAGCTCTAATGGGTGAGGGTAGACGAGATCCAGCTGATAGCAAAGACTGAGATCTAAAACCAGGCGTTGATTTTAACCTATCTAACCTTGGAGTTCCTGATGCCTGTAATGAACAATCGTCAGCTGAATTTATTCCATTTTCCATTCTGAGACCATCATCAACAAGTGGAAGAATCCTAGTAGAATCATTATTAGATTTCTGAAAATGTTTGGTCATAGATTCAGATGAAGTCCTTCTCAAGGAAGATATCCCAATTCCTGGAAGTGGTCCACTAGAACTCCGAATTATTGTATCAGTAAGATCCACATTTCTACTTGATGCATTTAATGATATCTTCCCACCAATTCTACTCGGCCATCTCTGCTGATCTATAAGCCTGGTATGCACGCCATCAATTGGCTTAGAATTCTCCAACTGGTCAGGCATAATCTTTCCTTTAAGAGGACTCCTCTTTCTCTCTGGCGTAGGTTTCCTTGAAACAGTAGGCGTTTCAACCTGCTTGTGAGCAACATTTGAAGACGGCCTCAATGTTCGATCAGATGGAGATGTAGGGACTGGTTTTTCCTTCTTACTGACAGGAATGGAAATTATGTCAGACTGGAAAGAGACAGTCAAACTCCGCATGGTCGACGGCCATAAACTTTCCACCAATCGACTGCCCCCTGTCTTTGAAGACGATCTTAGATCATCAGATAAGTCATGGCCCCGAGTTGATGGACTCTTCGGGGAAGGAGGCGTGGAAGGCCGCTTCCTCTCAGCCAATTGGGCTCTTTTCTGCCCCAACTGGGAGGAAGCAGACACAGTTCTTGAAGCATTCGGCGACGGACAGCGCCGAGCCGTGGAACTCGATGAGGGAATAGGTGAGTTATATCTAGAACTAACTTCCCTTGTCCGAGAGCGACGAGTGGCGGGTACATTGTTTCTCTCAGCCAGAACCAGCGGATGTCTCGTGGTCTCCTCTGTTGAATGCTTCCTTACTGAATCTGAATAAACTATATCCATCCACACAGTCAAAATCAGACCACATCGATGAAAATCTTCATACCAGAACAAATCAGGCTGTCATGGATTTCTTCACTCATCCAGCAATCAACTGAATAATACCAGCAGCAAAAAGGGGGAAAAGTTCTCAGCATCATCTCTGTCACTGCTGCACAACCAAAAGTGAAAAAGGTACAGATTGCCATTGATTAAGAAAGCAACGAGTAAACCCCACAAACAAAAACGAAAGAGAGAAAATAAGAAACGCATACATCTTTATAGACCCCAGATCTAGCTGAACAAAAATATGGTCACAACAGCAAGATAACGCAAATGGGTGCTGCTTCCTCTTCAAGAAAACCCAGAACCGTAACAAGGAGGTTAAGAACGCGTTACAGATCATTTGCTATAATACAATGGGTGGGGGAAACAGCGAAAACTGCCACAACGTGTATAGGCAGGTACCATGGGAGGTTGATTTTGGTGGTAAACCACATTTAGCAGTTATGGGGTAGGGGTCCCCTCAGGTCTTGAGGAGACCAGGGCAAGTGGGCTCTAGTCTCTTGAGTGGAGGGAGTGGAGGATAAGACTCAAGAAGTGTAAAAAAAAACTTCCAAAATAGTTTTCAGCACATAAGCCTTCTCACGGGAAGGCCAAGGTCAGATGGGGTGGAAATAGGTTTTTCTTAACAAGCCACCGCCGACTCAATCTTCTTCTCTCTACACTCCTTTTCACGACGCTGAACTTGATTAATGATTATTATAAAGGCAGAAGAAACTTGATGTTCTTGGGGAAATAGAGGCCCACGTGCAGAAGAAACTTGGCATCCCCATGAGTTCTACAAAAAAAAAATAATAAAATCAAAGGAAGATAAAAACAACACAGAAAAATCAGTTACATAGGGTTTTCAGAAAGAGTTCTTAAGAGAATGATCTTCGCAAATCAGAAATCGATTTAGAATTGTTAAAAGTACATCGAGAGAAGGTGAAACTTGAAAAAATTTACGGGGAAAAATCTCAAAATCAATTCTCAGAGAAAAAATCAGAGGTGGGGATAGTCTGTAATTTGAATGTAACAGGTTGTCTTTGATAATGTAGACAAACTCTGGTTCTCCTACTGTTCATGGCGATCTCTATGCGGGAAAAAGTTAAAGAAATCTCAGAGAGATCCGAAAATGGGAGACAGAGTTCGTCCGACTCGAAGAACATTCAAAGTCTCTGTACTAAAAAACAATGTAATCGACGGTGAGTTCCATTAACCAACCGTCTTAAATTAAAACTTCCATTGTCTTTTTCCTCATTCAGTGATCCACAAAGAGAGGACGAAGCAGATGCGTAACTTACCTCTTTCAATTGCAAAATGAATCAAAAAAAGAAAACAAAAACCCTCAGTTACGACAAAATTGCAATCGCTTATAACCAAAAGCATCTCCAGAATTTCATCAACCAAACATCAAATTATCCATCTATTCACTCAAGAATCTCCAAGGAAAAAACGAAAACAACCAGAAATCAAACTCGAGAGAGAGAGGGATAGATTTCTCACTTGCGAATTGAAACTTGAACTGAAACATCAAATTATCCCAAGAATCTCCAAGCAGAACAAAAAAAAAAAAAAAAAAACAAATCAAACTCGAGAAAGCTAGGGATAGATTTCTCACTTGCGAACAAAAACTTCAACTCCTCTTCCACTGCACAACAAATCGAGCAAGAAAATGCTACCGAAAATCCAAATCACTTCGATCTTTTTAGGAATTTAATCACAGCCACAACGGTTAAGATGAAACGTCGGAGAGGAAAAGACCGACAGCAAATACGTCGCCGGCAGGCAGATCGTCAGAGAGTTTCAAATCCGGCAGTAAATCAACGAAATTAATTCTTAAGAAAAAAAACTTGATGAAATTTATTAGCAAGAGAAACAGATTACGAAATCGATGAAGAAAAATTAATAATTGTAATGAGGAAAAAAAAACGGTTTCGTTTAGGAATTTTAACCGGTGTGGACCCGCCGGTGGCCGTTGTTTTCGCGCCACCAACTTTCTCGGTGGAAGCTTGGAATTATTATCATTTTTGTTATCATGAAGGTTAAATTCTTTTTTTGAAAGTTAATCTAATTACCCTAATTTTTTTAAAAAAAAAAAATCTAACAAATTACTAATTAAATTGTCTAATACATAATTTTTTTTTTAAGTTTATACGAAATTTTGATAAAATCGGCTCCTCTGAATACAACGTTCAAGAGGTATAACGACCCAGATCTACAGCTAGTAGATATTGTCCCACATCGATTGGAGGAATGAAAGAGTGTCACCGAGAACGCTGGGCCCCGAAGGAGATGGATTTTGATGTTCCCGCCTTGAGGGGAAGTTCTGAAGGGAAAACCCAAGATGACAATACGATCTAGGCGGTTACAAGAGGTATGATATTCTATAGAATTAGATCTCGAGAAAAAAAAGATGGGTCGCGTTTATTTCATTAGTTATTTTTAAATATAGTTTAAACCTTTAAAAATAATAAAAAAAAAAATCATTATTTATTATTTAACTTTTAATATTATTAATTTATTTTTATTTTTGTGTAAATTTAGAAATACTTTTCTATTCTTTTAAATAAATGCGTTTAAAAATATGTTTTTTTTAGATAAATTAGTTGTAAAAATTTCAAAAAGATAAATGTTGAAAAAATAATAGATCACATTAATATTGGTATTTAGGAAAGTTAATTTAAACATGAATAGAAATGAAATCAAACCCGAGCCTAAATATGGAAATTATGAACTAGATATCTCATCCTACGTGCTCGAGCTAATATGAGATGTTATTGAACACGGCAAGAAACTATAAGTAAATATCGTTTTCCTGATGTGATATCCAAGTAAAGGAAGAGTACATGAATGAACCGAGATCATATTTGAATGCGAGTGATTTTGAGAATAGAATGACTAAAAAAGACTTGTGAAAGTTACTTATTTATATCAATAAAATGCATATTCCTCCTTAGTGACTCAATCATAGGAACTTTATGATTAAATATGCTTTACTTGGATCAATTCTATGTTCGGTGACTTTCTAGGAATTTTCTATGATACATGTGAGTGTGGACAAAAAAATATGGCAGAGGATGCTTGAGAATGTCGGAGCTAAGCTATTAGATGTCTAATTAGGATTTCGAATCCTAATCCAAATTCGTCTTTATCATTAGGAAAAGTACTATTTAAAAAACTCTATCGAGCATCCAAATTCTGGGCACGGGCTGACCCGTGATCTCCTGTCTTTATTGATTAGGAAAAGTACTATCTAAAAAACTCGGTAGAGGATGCTTGAGAATGTCGGAGTTATTAGGTGTTTAATTAGGATTTCGAATCCTAATCCAAATTCGTCTTTATCAATTAGGAAAAGTACTATTTAAAAAATTCTATCGGGCATCCAAATTCTGGGCATGGGCTGACCCGTGATCTCCTGTCTTTATCGATTAGGAAAAGTACTATTTAAAAAACTCTATTTAAATCGGGATTTCAAATCCAGATCCAAATTCTGGGCATGGGTCGACCCGTGATCTCTTGTCTTTACCTGTAACGAAAAGAACTATTGTTTAAAACACTCTCGACATTAATTTTTTTTTAAAATAAATAAATATGAAAAGACAAAAACAAGAAACTTACATCAAATCAAATCAAATATATGTAGATAACCAATGATGAAAAATGGGAAACGATAAAGGATTGTCATAACTACCTATTATTTTGTTTAACAAGTAACTGTAAAAAATAGTAAAAATTAATTTTCACAACAAAAAAAACATTTATCTACATATATTTTTAAAATATCATTTTTTTTTTATTTTTTTTTTTACCTTTGTTGAGATATATTTTAACCTTCAATAATTGTGGTAATTTTTACCTAAGGTAAACTCATACATTTTAATAGAAATCATTCAAAATAGTATCCTGTAGCCTTTAAAAAATTAAGCCAATTAACCACCCGAGCTTGCCATTAAAAAACTAAATAGATGTCTAGAAAGATGTGGATCCTTCTTCTTTGCTCGACTTTGTGTTATTTTCCGACGTTCATTCGGCGACACTTTAGCAACCAATATTCGATGTTACACGGTGTTTCACAACGTCATTTTACCATCAAAATTATCGAATTGTGACGGTAATCGTTTCTCCTCGTCGATTGAACAATAACATCTACTAAATTCAATGAATTTGGAAAAAGAAAATCGACTTAAAACTAACAAAAATGGAAATTGTCTAAGCTAATTCGTGGTTAAAATGGTAGTGAAGTGGTTGGGTTCGCAAAAAATCTTGTGGGTTCGCTAGAAATCATTCGCTAATTTTTTAGGATATTTCTACCTCATGGGAAGGTGAATATTGATTTTTACCCCTCGTTCTTAATTAAATTTTATTTAAGAAAGAAAAATTACTTCCAAATACGTATTAATTTTCATTAAATTAGACCATAGACTTGATTAAATACTCTGCTCATTCAATTAGGGATAGATTTGAACCAATAACATGTTATTAGGAATCACTGACTCTCCATAATAGCATGATATTGTTCACTTTGAGCATAAGTCGTCTCTCCAAGCATCTTCCCATTTGAGTTCTACACTGTGTATTGATTGCAGCCCGCCTTTGGTTTGTGTGCGGTTTAGCTAAGTGGACTCTCTCAACTTGGCGGCTCGATCGACTGCTCCAACTCATTTTATTGGTTCAAACAGCACAACTAAAAGTTTTTGGATCCTTCACCGAACATAAATTTGGATCAAGTTCTGCTTTCATTCCAAATCCGATTTCAAAATTTTCAAGGGTATTTGAGGTTAGTATAACCACTTTGGTCGTCGATCCAGACTAGTTTGAATGATAGTAATTTCGACCAAACAAGCCTGTTTGGAAGAATTGTTTGAAGTATGAACGACACGTGCCCAATGACCCATGCATATGTCATACTTGGTGATTATTTAATGTTTGTTTATTATCTTATTGTTGTATTGTAAATATGTCGTGCTATGGAACTTGACATGTTATGCAATGTTGTTATGAGATATATCATGTTATGGAAAATCACGTTGACATGTCCATTGAAAATTGTGTTATGTTACGAAAGTGTTATACAATGTTATACACTATACTACGAGATGACATAAAATGAACGAAAACATATCTTGCATCACAGGCACATGCCATGACTATAAAAACGATGGAGACCTCATGCATATTGTATGACCATGTGCATTGAGATACTTCTTTGTTGTGATTAGTACGAACGCATACACTATGATGTTAGGATATAGTATTATGTACGAACGCATACATATTTTATGGTGTTTTATATCATAGGTCTGAAACATAATTGTATTTCCTAATCCCAGTAGTGAGGTTACTTACTGAATATTTCTAAAATACGCAATCTACATGCTACTCTTAAGACACCTCTGCACAGATGACAACGTTGCGATGATGACTATGTGATTAAAGAGATGGTAGATGCATCTATGCTACTTGTAGCTCTTAGGCTAGATTAAGGCATTGTTTTATTCCTTGCTAAAATCCCTAATATCATCTATGAAAAAATTTAAATAAATATTTGCTCACTTAATAGCCTTGCACGTAGCAACGATTCTATTATAATTAAAGAAAAATATATACAAAACCTTAACATTTTTCACTCAACACTTCACACAAAATATTTTTGAACATTTGTAAAAAAATCAAAAATATTTTTTTAGTAATTATTTAAAGTAATATTTTCTATAATTGAGCAAATAATTCAACAGAGCAAAATGTTCATTGTTTTAATTGTCTACAAAAGGGAGCATGACAAGGCACCGTGGAATTGCAGGATCGATGTTCCTCGGAGATTTCTTTTTGGGATCTCGTTGATTCGTCATCGAAATTCTAAGAGGTCTTCCAACATTCCCTTTTCATGAGAAAGGAACGTAGATTCGTCATCGAAATTCTAGGAGGTCCTCCAACCTTCCCTTTTCATGAGAAAGAAAAGTTGTAATGACTCAAGCCTACCGCTAACTGACATTGTCTCCTTTAGACTTTCCTTTCTAGACTTCTCTTCAAAGCCTTAGAACACGTCGGTTTCCACATCCTTATAAATTGTATTTCGTTCTCTTCCCTGATGTAGGATCTCACAAAAATTTTTGTATTAGGCTAATTTCCTAACCATTTTTCTCTCATTGATTCAATCACAAAGGAGAGTTATTCAAAGACTCATGTCACTTCTTTCTAATACAGATCTTTCAACGAAACTCAATTTCTTACGGAAAACGAAGTCGTTTTCAAAGTTTCCATGAAAGATATAATCCTATTGCTAATATTGGCAATAATATTTTTGTAGAAATACAGAGAAATATAAATTAATACATACCAATAATAATATGCAGAATCTTCCAGAGTTGATGTCCTATGGGATCCAAAAGCACTCCCTCTGCTACATATGAAACAAACATGATATTTAAATTGTATTTTACTTCCAACCTAATACGTAACATTGATATGAGCCACAGAAAATGAGGACTTTTTTTTTTCTTTTCTTTTTCTTTTCAAATGATTCAAACAACTTGAAAAGTCGAGGACTTCATATGGGTTCGAATCCTATTGAAAGGTTCACTAGAGATCAGAAATTGTTGAAGAAAGAACAAGATGTTTCTTTTGTCCCTTCCAGGCGATGGGAAAATAAAGAAATAGTTAATATATTCAAAATAATTACGTATTTACAAAATATCATCTCAATTCATCCTATTTCATCAGATCCGATATGTGAACCTGTTTCTGGATCTCTACTTTACGGAAACAATATTATTTTTAGTGTCATTATCCCTACTTCTGCCGCTATTGGGTTGCACTTTTACCCAATTTAGGAAGCAGCTTCCGTTGATGAATGGTTATACAATGGTAGTCCTTATGAGCTAACTTTCATCAAATTATACCCTAAACTTATAAACGACCATGAGTTTCGTACCTTCATCCGTTGTAACTCGAGAAGGTTCCTTTTATGGGCAGTGGTTCTTTTGGTTTGCTATAGTTGAGTTTGTAGCCAAGTTCAA